CAGGAGGAGACGGAGCCGAGCCCGGCCTGAGCAAGCGGCCGCGCACCGAGGAGGCGACGGCGGACGGCGGCGGCGGGATGCAGGTGACCGCGCGGGACGGGGCGCCTGGGTGCCGTGGGTGCGGGGCGGGGCGGGAGGAGCGGCCCGGGCTTCCCGGTGTGGACGGGGGAGGCCTTCGGGGTTCCCGGGTGGGAGGGGGTGGGTCGGGGCCTGGCTGGAAGGTGGGGCGAGCTCAGGCTTGGAGGCGAGGGATGCAGAAGGGTACTGCTGCGTGTGCCCGAGAGGGGACGAGGAGGTAGCGCGAGCGAATGGGTTTTTGGTGGGAAATCGAGCTGGATGGGATGGAGTCCATTTCATTGAACCCTTCCGTAGTGCCTTGAGAAATTCTGGGGCTGTTGCCCCGAGGAGAGCCGCTGGCCGAGCTGTGGACGAGGGGATCTGGTGGGAAATCTCCCCCGACAAGAAAGAGTACTTTTTGGGCAGCTCTGGACACACGTTGGGATGGGAAAGGGAAGCGGCATTTGAAGCAGAGGTGTGAAAACGAGAAAACTCCTCGAGAGAGCCCAAAGGGGATGTGGCTTAGGTTGTGGGTTGAATCACTTGTACAGAGAGTGTGAGAAGTACACGGAGTTTGGTAGTGGTTTGGGGGCACCGTGGTGCTCAGTGTCCTTTTGTGGAGCATGCTAGGGAGTTTGGAGAGTGGACATGTCCCTCTCATACTGTGCCAGTTGCGTCCTACATGGCTGTGACATCCAGTAGCCTTTTAATGGCCCAGGTCATACAAGATTTGTAGTGCTGTTAGAAGACTGCATTACTAGTTGTGGACTCAAGGATAAGCTGGCTGATTGCGGCGGGGAATGGGAATGGTATTGATCATATCAGTCACTTTGTAGTGTGTGGAGAGGCTTGAAACCTTCCTGGGTTTTAGGATTTGGTCTCTGTTGGCAAGAGAGTTTCTATAAATGGTGAGACTGGCCCAGCCACAACTGTGTATGGACATCTGCTTATTTCTCTTAGAAGCATAGAATGTTAGAAGGGGTCACAGACATAGTTATCTTTTCTAGGGGTTCTTAACTTGGATAGCTTTGGAAGGTTCTTAGGCAGAAGAGTTTATCTGCACTTTTTGGTGGAGCGGAATTAATAATTTTCATCTTCGTTTTAGGAGGAGGATTCAAATCCCGCTATGTTTTAACCACCCCTTTTTCTGGTTGAGGACTCAAGTCTAGGGAAGACTAGTGATTTGCTTAAGGCCATCTAGTTAGCTGGTTGTAAGACTGGGACTAAAAGCCTGGTCGTCTAATTCTTATTCCTGTGCTCTCTCCATTACACCACTCTTGGAAATCTCTGCAGTGCTAAAAGACTTCCTGTGCTCTGCTGTCTGCTTTTTAAGGTTTTGCCTGACTTCCTGTGTTAGAGATGGAGCTATACTTAAGCCTGGCATGTTTATTGTGTGCCTCTTGCTCTCCTTTGCAGAGTCCTCTGTTATTTCTGTTGGTTTGGGTAATGTGACCCTCTTGGTGTTTATTTTTGGATTTGTTTGCTTCTTTGCTTGCTTTTATTCTCAGTAGAACTTTGTCAAGGAAAGGGATTCTGAGAAGTCTCTCGGCCATGTAAAAAATATAGAGGAATATAGGGAGACTTCAGGTGAGGTGGCTTAACAGTAGATGGTAAGGAGAGAAGACTGAGCAGAGGTGTTGATGAGCGTGTTCCATTTGGTTATGTACCTATGTATTCATTTATTATTTCTGTTAATTATAGTTAGTGGTGAGACCCTCCCACTTCAAAAGTCTTCTTCCTAGGGCCTATTTATTTGCAGGTTGCTTTCACATTGGCGGAGGGTAGTGATCTTTGGAAATGGAGCAGTGTAATAGTACTCTGGGGGGGGTGTGCAGAGGAAGGAGTGGATTAGGTCCTTAGGGTAAAGTTAGTTTAGAACTATCCCCCAGGGAATCCTTTTTTCACTCACTGTACATATTTATGGGTGTTCTTTATTTTTCACTTTATACATTCTTGTTTTTGTTAGTTCCATCACAGCATGTTACACAGGTATTCAGCTCGTTACTGAGTTAGCTTCTTGCTTTCAGTTGGCTGTATTGTCTTGGGGTAAACTTTTGTTTGGGGGACCTGTTTCCTTAGTTGTAAAGCAAAATGATTGTACAAAATGACTTCTAAGTTACCTTCTAAAAAATGTAAGGCAATTTAAATTTCCTGACCTTAAAGTATGTACGATCCTTGAAAAGTTAAAAGAGTATGTCTATTTAATATTCATTTACTAATATTTTTTTTTTTTTGTGGTACTGGGGATTTCATTGAGGGGCTTGTGCTTAACTAATATTTATTGAGCAACTGCTACATGCCAGGCACTGTTTTAACCGTTGGAAATGTAGTAGTGAACAGAGAAAGGCCCTGCTTTCATGGAACTAATATTCTAATGGGAAGAGATACATAAGAAAGACATCAACAGTTACTATTAGGTGGGGGCTGGGGATTTAGCTCAGTGGCACAGTGCCTGCCTGGCAAGCGCAAGGTCATCATTTCGATTCCTGGTACCGGAAAAAACAAACAAAAAACCAATTACTATTAGGTGCTAAGAAGGGCAAATAAGAAAAGGAGAATGATAAAGATGGTCAGGGAAGGCCTCTCTAGGTGACCTTTCGTGAAGTGTGGGAATGGACCATTTAGAGATGTGAGGGAAGAGGGTTCAGGTAGAGGAACCAATTGTACAGAAGCATGGAGAGAGAAATGTGCTTGCTATGTAGGAAGACAGGAGCAGAATGAGCAGGGACTCATTCTCAGGAGATGGTATCAACAAGTTAAAAATTCCTGTAGGCCCCATGTAGATGTACACTAAAATTCTTTGTGTCATCAACCTTTTTGGTATGTTGATTTGTTTAAAGCACATATTTTTGTTTTTGTCGTAACACAAATGGAGTTTTTGTGAAGTCCTACCTCCTTCTTGAAAGACTTGCCTGTCAGCTTAGTTGACATTAGACTGTTCTTGCCTCTAGGCTTTGTTTGTTTGTTTCTTTCTTATTTGAGACAGGGTCTCAGCTATGTAGTTCAGTTAGGTCTTAAACTCATTATGTAGCCCAGGTTGGCTTCCAATTTAGGACAGTCCTTCCTCCTCAGTGCTGGGATTATAGGTGTGTGCCAAAATGCTTAGCTCCAGGCTCTACGCTTATTTATACATTGCCTTTTATTATTCCTCAATGGCAGGGCCGAGAATGTAGCTCAGTGGCACAAATGCCTGCCTGGCAAGTGCAAGGTCCTGAGTTTGATTCCTGGTACCAAAAAAAAAAAGTATCAACTCAATGGCTTTATTATTCTTATTTCCCTAGTATGATTGTAAGCTTCCAAAAGACAGCAATTGTATTTCCTTTGTGGTTATCCGTGAATACCTCACAGTTTTGGGTACATAGTGCTTAATGTCTGCTAGATTTAAATTGAAATTTACCTTTTACAAATAGTAAAAGGACGGGGCTGGGGATTTAGCTCAGTGGCAAAAGCGCCTGCCTGGCAAGCGCAAGGTCGTGAGTTCGGTTCCCGGTACCGGAGAAGAACCAAAAAAACCAAAAAAAAACAAAACAAAACAAAACAAAAAAACAAATAGTAAAAGGATTTTTAAAAAAAGAAATTCTAGAGTGAGGATATCATCGCAAATTTCCCCAATATTTTGAGTGCCAAAGGAGTAACTGCTTTTTACAGAATAAAGTCATTTATTGGGGTTAACTTCCCAAGGCTGGTTCCTAAATGAAGTTGATCTCTAAACTTCAGATTCCAAAGCTGAACCCTGTTGGGTTGCAGCCACTAAACTTTTGGAAAAAATTATTACTTCCCAGAGTGGATCTCAGGGGAATCTGGAGAGTCCCTGGTGCTTGTGTTATAATCCTTAGGCTCAGAAGGAATGAACTCTTGGTGCTCTTGGGGGCAGTATACAGATGTTTTATGTGGATGGAAAAACAGTACAGTCTTGGAAAGAAAACCTTGAACCATAGAGTGGGAGGGAAGAGACAAATGCAATTTGAAAACTGAAAAATGGGTTGAGAAATGTAGTTTTTAAGGAGGACTACTACATTTGGAAATAATTTACTCTAATTTGGTGAAAAGTTAAATGAGTTACATGTATAGCTATTAGAGGTTCATTTCACTTTATGCAGGTCTGATATGTCTAAAACTTAGGCTCTGTCGAACGTGCTGGGAATTAAATTCTTTTTGGTCAGCTTTTCTAGTGAATGTGAATTAATTTGGTTAACAACAATTCTATTTTTTTTGCAACTGTCTGAGAACTTAGCTGCTGTATAAGGTACTTTGGATCTTTTTTTTTTTTTTTTTTTGGTTTTTCTCCGGTACCAGGAACCGAACTCACGACCTTAACGCTTGCCAGGCAGGCGCTTTTGCCGCTGAGCTAAATCCCCAGCCCCTGGTACTTTGGATCTTAATGGTTATAGTTTTCAGCAAAAATGTTTTGTGGCAGTGAAATGTTGATATGTGATTATTAGGTGATAGAGTAACTACTTTTGAGCAGTGTCATAAATCTGGTCTAGCTGCATGGATTCAGTGCTTGTTCATATCGTGGGTGACTTCTTGGTCTCTGGTATCCTGTAGTTACTTTATGGATACTCTTATCTATTGAAGTGGTTTGTCTTCTCATTTGCTTATTCCTTCTAGGTGGGTGTTTTTTTGAGTCATCACTTGGGTATTTGATGCTGAAACTGAGCATGTGCTACCCTTTGAATACAGTTAAACAAAGAACATGCTTCTCTTATAAGTAATTTCATGAACAGTATTCACCAAAGTTACTGAAATCTCATTTCTGGCTATGTTAGCCTTCTTAGGCTGTCACAACAAAATACCGTAGACTTAAAAAAAACCAAGACACTTATTTCTGACAGTTCTGGAGGCTAGAAAGTCCACTATCAAGGTGCCAGTAAATTCGGTGTCCTGTGAAGGCCCACCACCTCCTGACTTGTAGACCGTGTTTCCTTGCTGTGTACTAAGGCCTTTCCTTAGTGTACCATACATATAGAGTGAAAGCTCTTCTTGTGTTTATATGATGGTCCCACCCACATGATCTCATCTAAAT